TCCCATGACTGCCCATCCTTCAGTCTCTTCCAGACATGTTGAATTTGTACTGTTCAAGTTTCTAAATTGAAAGGCATCAATAGTAGTTATATGGAAAGGAAATATGAAGTAATATCAGGGGCTTTGAACTTTCTATGGAAGTACAGGTAACACTTACAGCAACTCTGATGTAAACCTACCCTGAGGTTGAACGGAAGGGTTGGTATGGGGAAGACTCACAACTAGCACTTGAACTCTTTCCAACAACAACAAAAAAAGAGTTTTAATTGTTCTGGCCTTACGCACCATGAACCAGATTCAGCAGACGTATAACTCCTGTGAAGACAATGGAGCTAATTCAGGGATGGGTTTGCCCCCCCAGCCTTCCATTCAACATGAAGGCTTAAAGTAGAACTCCCAACCTGGAAAAAATCATTGACAAACTGCCATTGCCTGACAAGTCATCTGTCTTTATTCCTCTAAAATATTATTAATGTGATCTGTGTGTGTGTGCGTGCGTGTGTGTGTTTTCTATGTGCCCCTGCCATTCGTGCAATCTGATCAGCTACGATCACGACAGCTGTAGAGAGAATAGGAGTAATGCAGTCTAAGTTTACTGTTTCGTGCTATCGTCCCCTGTGAAACATGCAGCTCATAAAGCCAGGGAGAGACCAGGACGTTTTGGGGCCTCCGAATTGCTGTCTATGCTACACTGATTGTTCTGCTTCAGAAGCCCTCTGCTCCTTGTTTGACATCTCCACCAAGCGTTCACCCCCTACCACCCTTGTCCCAGTCTAAAAACAGAAAATCCAGAGAAACTAACCTCTCTGCTTTATTGCAACTGTTTCATCATTGTTTTTTCCCAAATTGCTTTAGCTTGCTGCCTGCTATCTGTCTCCCCATCTCACTGACAAGATTACGTAGTGCAAACAGCTACATTTAAACCTCTACATTGATAAACGGTTTCTGAATATTTACCCTTCCCTTGTTTCCATGTCAGGCTAAAGGCTACGTATTTTAATGGCAGCTGTTGCGGGTGGATGTTAGCAACACAAGACAAGGGAAAAGCTTCTAGATCCGACGGCGGAACTAGCAGTTAACACTGCTTGAACTGAATGTGCAGAGGGCTACATTTTTCAAGGGCTCAGTCCCAGTCAGCTGCCTTCCTTTGCAGAAACACCAGAGCGGAGATCTTCCGAAAGTCTTGCTCTGTCAAAATGAGAGCTACCAGGTGCCCAGCTCCACTGAAAATTGTTTTGCTCCGTGTAAATACATACTTCTGAGTACTGAATTAATGACTGGAAAAGGGAAGGAAATGCATTCCTGTTGCTTCAGTGTTCCTGGGTCTGCATTAGTCTTTATGTAAAGACTGTGCTACCACCTTTGATAGGCTCCTTTTTTATCATTTTCCATCTAAATGAAGAACTGATTCTCAAGATGCTGGTGGCTGCCAGGCTGTTGCTGGTGAATAGAGCCTGATTAGCTTGCGATTAAGGTGCAGGTGAAGCATACTGGAAATCACTGAGGATCTGCAGGCATATGAGGGACCTCTGAAAAGGCTCTGGCTAGTTGGAGAAGTGCTAAAGAAAAGCTCTGAAGCCAGGTCTAGAGCTGACTAGTGAGTCCCATGATGCTAATGAGTTAGAGACCTTTTAAGGCCATTCAAGTTGTGGTTTTGGCATGGTTATAGCTGCTGCAGCACAGGATGGTTAATGGGTTTTACTATTTCCCCCTTGTATTTGGCCCTGCTTTTATGTAGGTTTTGCTAGGACTAAAGTATGCACTTAGTGCTTTGTTGACAATGTATGGCCTTGAGCATGTATTAAGTGCTCTATTGAATCGTTGTCTTGAGCTACAGATGTATTTTACAATAAAACAACCTGGCTTGCCTTGGTGGCCACTGTGAAAGATCAGCAGGTTGAGATGATCATTTTACTGCCACTCTGTGCAGTTATAATAAACTATATAATGGCTTCTTTTTTCCTTTATAGTAACTGCTTATTCTTCCTGTTCATCTTGAAAGGGAGTGGGAAGTATCATCCTATAGATACAGGGTGGCTAATCTGTGGGTCTATGTGCTTGGTGACTGTTTTATAAATGTTACAAAAGCAGAGAAGTTCCCCATACATGATTTTCTTTTCTGTGTGCTGTTCATCCTATTGGCTTAATTTTTTTGCCTTTAGAAAAACTAAACAAACTGGCTGAATAGGAGCAAAACATAACCTATAGGAGCACATCTTTTCTTTGTGAAAAGGCGTGGGGCTGTACCCATTAACTCTAAGCACAATAAATATTCTGATAACTTTTCTAATGACTATATATACACTTGTGTTAGCGCGATACACCCTGAGGCCTCCTTTTGGGTACATGCATCTATGTATATATGGATTTAGACAACCCTTATAGGGTGGGTTGAAAATTTTTTTCCAGCTGAAAGCTGGATCTTCAACTAAATTAATATTTTTGCCAAAAGTGTCAGGCTTATCAAATGAAAAACTGAATATTTTTTTCATATCTAAACTTTAAAAATGATTGTTCCCAAATTACAAAATCTAGAGCGACAGTTTGATTTGGGCTGTTTTTTAAAAATAAAAAGCTGAATTTTTCATCGGAGGAAAAAGCCTGGTTTGGGACTCGGTTAATATTAACACACTATGAATTCTAGTTTCCAGCCTTTATAATTTCAACTTTGCCTTACTCCTTATTTTTTCTCTCAAATGCTCTCTTTGATCCATATGTGGGAATTTAGCTACTTCTGGCAGCAGCTGTGTTTATCTTTAAAAAGAAATTGTGGTTTTTAAAAAAAAAAAAAGAGATCTGGGGTAAGATCTGGATGTATTAATACTACTGTAAAGCATTAGTTAGGTCTCATCTGGTTCTGGCAACTTGAGTACAGAAGACGCACATTTAACTTGGCATGAGAGCAAAGACTGACTACTAGGATAATGAGAATGGAGAACTAGTCTTATGAGAGGAGCCTAAAGAATTTGGCTTGTTTAACCTAGCAAAATGAAGCCTAAGAGGACAAACGCCAGAGGGGGATCTATTTAAATTAAAGGACATTTCAGCTGCTAGAGAAGCAGAAAGCCAGGTTGGAAACTGGAGAATTTGTATAACGGTCAGAAGAATACCCTTCTTGATCAGCCCTCCAACAAGAGCAGTGGGGGCAAAAATCCAACAAATTTCAGGCTAAGTTTTGATAATCCCATTTTTAATGGGAGTATTGGGCAAAGTTTCTTGCGATTGTGGGAGACTGGTCTTGATGACCCAGGAGGTCCTTTCTGGTTTTGTGTTGCAAGTGATTCACAAAAGAGTAGGAGAAATTATGTAAATCTTAAGTGCTCTGCTAAGAAAGGAAGTCCTGAGCCCATCTGCAATGCAACTACAAAATCATTATGAATCTGCAAGTGTATGAAGTCACCTCCTAATTGCTCATGACTGGAGAATTTTTGGGGGGTTGCTTACTTTAGTGAAACTTTCTCTTTTTTTTTTTCGAAATATGCAAATGAAACACAGAAATGAAGGTAGGAGAAGCCGCCCACAACCTAATGCAACTGGCAGGTTAAATGTTTGTAGGAAACTTCCCTACAGGTGTATAAAAGGACCAG